CGAAATTAAATTCCCTTAAGGTCGAAAACGGAGGTCGAATTTGAAACACGCAGCCTTTCAGGCCAAAAGCCATGTATCAGCACTTAGAAGGTGAGAATTCCATCTCTCATCTCTATCTTCTAGCAGTGCTTTCTTGTGCATATACACGGTATTAAGTTAATATACATCAAGTTTATGCTTTAATGCATTTGTTGGGTTCGTCATCATGACCTCCTCGGGCAATTCGTTCGAGGCACGGAACTCTCGCTGGGGAAAGGAATGACAAAGTTTATAATTACTGATTTGTTGTCATATCGTTATTTCATCTGCGAACAGGACACTGATTCTGTCCAGTCCATGCCTATAGTCGTTGATGTAGAATAAAAACGGTGATATTCAAGAGCGAAGCCGTGAGGTACAGCACTGACAACTGGCACAGAAGAGGACTTGGCCTTGCCAACGCACAGGGGCTGTGATCGGCCTATTATGAGATCTCCTATCCAATTTAGTAGACTCCCCCTAATTCTCAATAAGACACTATCAAAGGCCTTTTGAAGTCGATGTAGAGGATATAAATATAATTATTGTCATCTAATAATTTCGACCAGCGCTTCACTGAATAATGCATGTTAGTCAGACCGGAGTGGCCTCCTCGGAATCTGTGTTGGGCACTGTAAAAGAAGTCTTTACCCTCAAAATCTTCGTGGCAGCCTTTTTGATAGTCCTTTCCATAACTTTACAACAAATGCAAGTTAGACTTACTAGTCGATAGTTGTTCGCGCTGGTTATTGGTTCATTCTCATAAACAAGGTATATGCTCAAAACTTTGCATTCAAGTGGAAGAATGCCCCGATAGAAGAGCAAAAGGAAAATACATGAAAGCGGTACGAGGAGTTGAGAGGCAAGCTTTTGTGGTACTTTTGGTGATATTTTAGTCTGAACCAGATGACTTGTTTTTTGTTATTTATTTATTTATTTGTCTTCTTTAAGCGCAAGGAGTTCATTTCTCACATCTTCTGTGAATTCCATGCACGAATTCTGCTTGGTTCCTCCGTGAAAACATATGCAACAAACTGATTATGGCGTTGTATCATAACGTGATTTCTAATAATTTATTCATTACTGTAACACTTGAACACTACCGAAATGGATATAAATAGATAGGGTTCGCTTATATGCGGCCTGTTCTACAATTTTTATTTCATACTCCTTCCGTGATTTCGAACCCTTGATCTTATCTCATTCCGCTATTGGCAAAATTATTTGTCGCTGAAGGGTTTACCTGCTGTTGTATACCTTCCCTAGAGTTTGTTCTTTCGGTTCATCTGGCTCTTCAAACCTCGCGTTAACCAAGTAGGCCGGCTCACCTTTTGCATATTTTAGCGGATAGTTGCGATACATGACGTTATCTCTAACTCCTCTGAGAATGTTCAATTCGGGATCCGGAATGTCGGTGAGCATGGCGTGCCAGTTTAATATCGGCAGTTCACTGCTCATCGCAGGGAAATTCCCGTGCTAGGAATTACGCCGAGCCTCTGTATACTCCGTTTGCTTAGTCTGTAAGCCGTATTCCCACAGAAGCATAAAACGGTCTCTCTTGCAAGCAGGGCGAGTGATATCACATCCCCTACATCAATTGGGATTTTCGAAAGCACGAGTTCTACACAGTTCGCTATTTGTGCCTCTTTTATTTGGACAAATGACACAAACTAGTGAAAATTGCGCTTTCTAATTAGAATCCAAAAAAATATTAAATCTCGGACTTTCATGCAGGATGTCAAGATGCTACCACAATTTTCCTGCGGGACATTTGCCAGCGATATGAGACATCTGATAGCCAGTTATCAGCACGCTCAAGCCACGAAAGGTGGTCTGTATGCGTTTAACCTCAGTGTTCTTTTGTGTCCGTTTTTCAAATAACAGCACGAGACATATCTGACCGCGCATACAAAGTCTATGAACACTCTTCTCAAACAATTCTGTTTTCCGCATCTGTTCATATTTTAGTAATTGTCTGCATTTGGTGACCCTCTAATTGCCACAGACCGCTGCATTATTTTTTTTCACCTCACTCCCTTTTCCTTCTGACGAATTTCGAGAACTGCGCTTTCCTGCAACTTTGTTTTATTTACTTGTAAAGTAGACCGCTGGGCTTAAAGTCCGATGAGCCGCCAAGCAGGCGTTTGCTGAAGAATACCCATCCCGCGATGTATACGTTGTTCCGCGGACTTTGCAAATATGTATCGAAAAAAGATGAATATTCGGTCCTCATTCTTGGTCTTGATGATGCTGGAAAAACGGTAAATCATTTTCTTCCATATAATTTGAAGACTTATCTCGAACAAACTAAAACAAAGTTCAACAAAGACTATAAATCAATGCCCCTGAACAAAATAACCTCTACAGTGGGCCTTAACAGTGAGTTTTATAATCGCATGTTATACTTCAGTCGGTCAGATATTCGTTGAAGGGATCGTGATAAAATTTTGGGACCTCGGTGGTCAGACTGAATTACAGTCTCTCTGGGATAAGTATTACCTAGAATCGCACGGAATAATCTTTGTTGTTGACTCTTCCGAACCCGACAGATTTGACGAAGCGAAAGCTGCTTTTGGTTTGCTTTTTAACCTTGTTTATCGCCTTCTCAGACGCTATGATCAAAAATAAAGCACTCGAAGGCTTGCCTCTTCTTATACTTGCCAACAAGCAAGATCTAGATGTAAGTATTTCTACTTTTGTTTTTTTTTAATTTTTTACTCATAAAGTTGTGCTGCAGTTGCCCGAATTTACTTCCAAAATTATCTAATATACATTTCGTTAACAACAGATAGCCTCGTCGTCCGGTAATACTAACAAAACCTAGATACGACAAAGCGTACTGAGACCTAAAAGAGGATGCAGCGGCGTAGTAAATCTCTATGATGATGCTCATGCGGACGTTATTAACTTTTGTTCTTTAGGGTGCATTCCCCGTCTCCGAGGTAAAACAGGTCTTTCAAGAAAGTGCTCATTTAATTGGCCAACGAGACTGTTCCATGCGAGGAGCGTCAGCCCTTTTGGGGTAAGTGTTGCTTCCCTTCTAACTTAAAGAGCTGATATAAGAACGATTCAGTCTCCTGTCCATGACTTTTCCTATTGGATTCTCATCTATCATACTATAAAAAAACAAAACATTTTTACTCCATGCCCATTGTCTCCATTACGTGCCTTCTACTTTAGAAATCCTTCAGTTTACTTGGTCACAAACCCAGTCTGTGATGATAACGAAAAGACATGGGTTGATCCGGTCTTGTGGCCTTTGAGTAGGACGGGGAAGGCTAAAAGACTGTATGTTGCGAGCATACCCTATTCCCCTTGACTTTCGCGAAGACAATTCGAAAATTTTTCTGTTAACTGCTTGCGCCCAATATTAGTATTTCCTTCGTAATTTAGGTTCCAATACATCGTAACTTAGGGCAGATATGTCATTGCGACATAAGATCCAGTTGCTATTGTACACAGGCTCTGGCTTATCGCGCATCTAATCGCAGGTGGGCGAACATATTCACGAGAGTGAATGTCAGTACGTACAACGCATGTGTAACAAGCTGGCCCATGGTCAGCAGTCACATTACTGGCTCCTGTGTCCCTCTGTGGGGCATTGAGTACTTTATATGCATAAACTGTATACGGACGAGCTTTCTTGTCTAACATCTTTCCATGCTGATTGTCTTGTTATTTTAGTGATGGTGTAGACGACGGAATCCGATGGATGGCACAAAAAGTCAGGAAAAACAGCTGCGTACGACCACCCAATACTGATGATCAGGGATTTTGACTTATAAAAATGTACATCTGCTTTCTGTTCAAATGCAATCTGCTTTTTTCTTCCGAAACCAGCTTCTAAAAGGAAGCGTTGTTCGAGGCTGATAACGTGTTCCACAGCTGCTCCAACCTTCTTCTTCGTCTCACGTCCATCTGAATGGTCCTAAGAAAATAGCTTTTGAATAACGTGAGCTTACCTCAAATGATCTCCAAACTGCAGTACGCAATTATTCAGGGCCCACTTAACAGTTGCATGTATGCGCCATGGCAAAAGGGGGTCGGACGCGTAACGGTAGTACGGTGTGTCCTGAGTTTCATTGTTCGAGTCCGGTGTTGTCGATTTGGGGAAAAAGGCAACTTCTCCCGGTCTCTTATCTAGGTTTCCAATAGGGCCAGCGTCAGCGTATAGGAAATCCGAAAGGGGCGTGTTCTTGGAGGGGACAAGCCCTACCAGATGGAAATGCAGTTCGAGTGCCTATAAAAACAAAGAGACTTGTTTAGACGTTTCGGGTAGCTTTGGCATTGTTCATAATAAGTCCGAACGTGACTTTCCCGGGCCGTCAACGCACCCGCATTAAAAAAAATGCGTACAATACACAGCACCAATAATTTTTATACTTATCGGTCTTTCATAGTGCCCCTGGATCTGCTGGCCATCGCACCGCCAAACCGTGAAACGGCAACGCGTGACGAGCTAACTCTTACTTTAACAACAGGCTCTGAATATATTTCAACACCGTACTACATATTCTGCTATCCTCTCTTTGGATTTAATCTGCTACTGAATGGGTCTAGACGGACTACACCGACACGACAGCTGAGACTATTCTAATCGGGTTTGGCTACGACCCCGACTGCGTATTGTTTAAATGACGAGCTGTGAGGGGGTACGATGATGGTCCGCTCCGCGTACTGTGATCATGTCTGATCTAGCCGGGCTCGAGTTCCTTCCGCTGTGTAATAAAACTGTCTCTTAAATGTTAGAGCCTACCCGAACTGAGGGGCGCTCTAGAATATATCACAGAAAGTGCTAATCCACC